TTTCTTCTGTTCCTCTTCAGTCATTTTGTTCCTGTGTTTTTCTTCTTTAGCTGAACACTAGAGTCCGTAACGTTTCTTCTGTTCCTCTTCAGTCATTTTGTTCCTGTGTTTTTCTCCTTTAGCTGAACACTAGAGTCCGTAACGTTTCTTCTGTTCCTCTTCAGTCATTTTGTTCCTGTGTTTTTCTCCTTTAGCTGGACACTAGAGTCCGTAACGTTTCTTCTTATATTGATTCCATGTTCCTGTGTTTTTTCTTTCCTTAGTTAACCATTCGACTGTCCGATCGGAACAGTAGATGCCCGAAGTTTCCATTTTCACAATACTATGGTATAGTGAAAGAAAATATTGATTTGGACTCTGTGATTGTGCCGAACATCCAAGTGGAAGACGCCGAAAAATTCCAAAAGGTGTTTATATATATGTGTGTGTGTGTGTATATGTTCATACGTATATGAATGTATGTATGAATACATGTATGTAATTAATTGTAATATTACGTAGAACATGAAAAAACCATGTATGTATTTATATTTATATGTGTGTATATGTATATTTATATGTATATGTATATATATAAATGTGTATGTGTAAATTTGTATGTATATATATGTGTATGTGTAAATTTGTATGTATATATATGTGTATGTTTATATGTGTATATATAAATGTGTATGCATACACATATATATACATACAAATTTACATATACACATTTATATATACACATATAAATATACATATATACATATACATATAAATATACACATACACATATATATACATACAAATTTACACATACACATTTATATATACACATATAAATATACATATATACATATACATATAAATATACACATACACATATATATACATACAAATTTACACATACACATTTATATACATACAAATATACACATACACATATATATACATACAAATTTACACATACACATTTATATATACACATATAAATATACATATATACATATACATATAAATATACACATACACATATATATACATACAAATTTACATTCTGTGTCGTAGTTGACATCTGTTAAACAGACTTGATAAATATTTCCAAAAGTAATCTCGTATCTCCAGCTGATGAAACATTATAGCTCACACGTCACAGAACTTTGTATTAGTTTGAACCGACAAAATAGATCTTTTATTTGTCGACAACTTTTATTATAACCATGCTCTACTTTGAAAACATTTTGTGAGTTACAAATGCAAGTCATCCCTTTAATATTAAGTAATTTTGGTTTACATTTATCCAGCTTTCCTACGTAATCACGGACGACAATTCTCAAGAAACCTTTTACATCGATTCACGAGATCCATCTAACGTTTCCATACGGGGTAGGAAACCCCTGGATAGAGATACAATGCCGCCCATTCTTCACGGGGTTTATACACTAATGGTAAGGGTTTATTTACGTATCAATGTTTCGATTCTTTCTTTTTTTTTCGCGCCGTTACGAAACATTATGCAGTATGTTTGTTTGGCAGCTGAAAAAAAGAGTCGAATCAGTTTAGAAAACATTTGTGTCTTATCTTTTTCTCCTACATTCTGAAGCCCGAATAAAATTTACTATTCCTTCTTTCTGGAGACATTTCACGATTGCCACACAAAAACGTAAGTCATTTGCTGTTAGGCCTACTCTTTCGCTCTTAGAACTCTCCCGATGAATCTCCCAAAGCAGTGAACCCTAGAACATTACTGAATATTTCCTGATTTTTACTTATTTTTTTACTAATTTTTACTTATTCTAATTATTTCTTAACGTTTTTATTTGTCACAAATATTTATTTATATAATTTGTAAGTATCTGTTAGGCCTAATCATTTGACCCGATAGTGACTTGTGCCCGGCATGGCCAGGTAGATAAGGCGCTCGACTCACAATCTGAGGGTCGCGGGTTCGAATCCACATCCCACCAAACATGCTCGCCCTTTCAGCCGTGGGTGCGTTATAATGTGACGGTCAATTCCACTATTCGTTGGTAAAAGAGTAGCCCAAGAGTTGGCGGTGGGTGGTGATGACTAGCTGCCTTCCCTCTAGTCTTACACTGCTAAATTAGGGACGGCTAGCGCAGATAGCGCTCGTGTAGCTTTGCGCGAAATTCCAAAACAAACAAACGATAGTGACTTATTTTGCTCATTTAAATTTTTTTTTATCTTTATCTGGTAACGAGGATATGTTTTCCTTTTTATTGAACTTTCGTGTAATGATACTAATCAAACTATAAACCCTCAAATTATGATTATAGAATAATATTTCAAGCATGTTGTTTTTCTCATTATTTGAAATGCATTGTTTAATGTGCAGATACTTCGTTTTGATTTATGAAATCAACATACTGTTTGTCGTTAGGTCACTGCCAGAAACAAGAGATGTTCGAATTCTGTGAATGTTAAGATTCTCGTCGAGGACGAAAACGACAACAGTCCAGTCTTTAAGGACGAGAAATTTGTTGTGGAAATAAAAGAAGTAAGCCAGAGAATGAAACTTTACAAATTAAGACTGATGTTTTTGTTAGAGTCAACTGTAAAGTCAGACCATGCGGTTATCTGAGTAAAACACCATATTTTCAAAAATTAAATTTATTATCTAATATTAGGTCATAATTCATTATCAACTATTCATCATTCATGATACACTGAGTTACTTAAGTAACGCCAAAACTCCCATAGTTGAATTAATTTTAAGTTAATATGTGGAATGAAAATGACATACAAATAACTTCATCTACACTGTATCAGTACAAGAAATTCGTCTACATTTGTGTTGTAACACGTTGACGACCAGACTATTCTATTTAGTTCCTTTTAAAGGAAAAGTCTTTTTTTATGCTAATTTATGTGGTATTAAATTAAGTGATTACACACATTAAAAACCTTGACTCTCTTGTTGCAATTCGAGTGAAATTTGGCGATGTATAGGTGTAGATGGCGCCTAAAAGAGACTCCTTTGGGAAGGGTTACATTATTGGTTTTTCTGACGCAAGTTCTCCTATTCCGCGATTATTAAAGATTGCGAGGCACGAAATTTTAGGGTTTCAAAGAAAGGGATATCTATAGTGCTGAATAAACAAGGGAAGACGTGATTCCACCAGAGAAAAACTAAAATTGATCACTCCACGACCGGCTACCAGTCGCGCACTGGAGGTAGTAAAGAAACTTAAACCAACTGTTAAAAACTGTAAAAGTGAAATTTTTATGTGATAATTCAAAATGTATCCCCAAGAGTAACAAAAAATATTATCATATTCTCAGTGAAACAGCTTTTCAAAAAATACAGGGAATGTCACGGAAGGATTTCTAAAGAGTTTAAGGTGGTTGTAGGCTACAAATATAATGGTAAGTTTAACATATCAACAGTCAAGACAACTTACAAAATTAATTCTGCGTACTATTAGGCTAACGTGTTGATGCTACAATACATTGGTGAAATGTCATCTTTCTATGAATTGGGTATCAATGAAGCAGGGTTACATCAAAACAATGTATTCAGCTTAATTCTCAAATCAACATTCCAGTTCCTCCGGAAGATGGCGCTCGACTCACAATCTGTGGATCGCGGGTTCGAATCTCTTTATCGAATATGCTCACCCTTTCAGCCGTGGAGGCGTTATAAAGTGACGGTAAATCCCACTATTCGTTGGTAAAAGAGTAGCCCAAGAGTTGATGGTGTTACCTAACTTCCTTTCCTCTAGTCTATAACTGCTAAATTAGGTACAGCTCGTGCAGATAGCCCTCGAGTAGCTTTGAGCAAAATTAAAAACAAAACAAAAAACAACAACAAACGAAGCTACCATGAAAAAAAAAAATCCAAAATCCTTCATGTGTTTGGGGATCGATTGCAAATTGTAAACAAATCTACACATAGAAAGTAGTATAAAAATGCAGTTTGTCTTTTTGTTGGTTTAGGTTTTGTTATCTCATGTGATTAGTTATGTAAATACGAAACAACTGAAAAATGGAATATAAAAGGAAATGTAGAGAGCTTTGATGATGCCGAGCTAACCCTGGTGGAATATCAACGTCGTTCATACAATTTATCTTATATTGTATTCATTTTCTGAAGGCTTTTTAAATCACAACAACCCTGGTGGCAATTTCAAGATGCATGAATCATATTTTTTTAGAACTGAGCAAATGTATTCAGGATCATGAAATTCGAGCCATATTGTTTATTCATGAAGTGCCCCCCCCCCAGTGGCACAGCGGTATGTCTGCGGACTTACAACGCTAGAATCCGGGTTTCGATACCCGTGGTGGGCAGAGCACAGATAGCCCATTGTGTAGCTTTGTGCTTAATTACAAACAAACAAACAAATATTATTCATGAAGAACAGATTATTTTCATTTATACCGGTAGGATAGGTGGCGCTGGGCATGTGAAGCTCATGGGTATGATATTTAGATGTATACCTGTATCAATGAACCTAAGATGTTTCTATTTCTTTACTGTATTTGGTGTTTTTATTAACATTTGAAGGTGCTTTAAACCGAATTATTTTGTACTTTACACTTGACTGATTTTTTTTGGGCATGGCCTGGCCTCGCCTGGCACGCCTATTGGTTAGTGTGTCAGACTGGAAATCCGAGGATTCATGCTTCACTTCCCGTTATTGCAAAAGCATGCTACGCACCTTGTGGGTGCGCTATAAGAGTGACAGTTAAATCTCATTGTTCAATCAGACAAGAGTTGTCTCAAGATAGAATAGAGATAAGTCTAAAGACTTACAACGCTAAAATCCGGGGTTCGATTCCCCGCGGTGGACACAGCAGATAGCCCAAAGTGGCTTTGCCCTAACACAAACAAACTAAAGCCGAAGAGTTGGTGATGGGTGTTGTTGGTTAGCTGCGTTCCCTCTAGTTTATCAGTTCAAAATTAAGGAAGTCTATGTGAAAATAGTTGGTTAGCTGCGTTCTTTATAGTTTATCAGTTCAAAATTATGATCGGCTATGCCCAAAGTGGCTTTGCTCTAACACAAACAAACTAAAGCCAAAGAGTTAGTGATGGATGTTGTTGGTTAGCTGCGTTCTCTCTAGTTTATCAGTTCAAAATTAGGAACGGCTATGCCCAAGGTGGCTTTGCTCTAACACAAACAAACGAAAGCCAAAGAGTTGGTGATGGATGTTGTTGGTTAGCTGCGTTCTCTCTAGTTTATCAGTTCAAAATTAGGAACGGCTATGTAAAATAGTTCTTGTGCGGTTTTGCACAAAATTTTGAAGTGAAAAAAAAAAAGAAACAATTTTTTGTCTTATTTTGATATCTGTGCAGATTAGCTATTAATCGAATCAGTTATTAAGCCTAAAATAATAATTTTTATTCAGATAGAGTAACCAGTTTTCAAAATAATCTATGTGATGCTTTCCCCCCTAGAACACACGAAAAGGTCACGTGGTCAAGCAGCTTACAGCTTCCGATGGTGACGAACTGGACGATGGAAAGCTACGTTACTTTATCGTTGAAGGTATATATATACGCCTTGTTGAAGTTTGAAATGCATAACGTAGTGTCCGTTTACGGTATTCGATATTAGTTGGTGTATTAAAGTTTCATATCACTTTCCAACCACCCCCCAAAGCTGGATTTATAAAACAGACCAAAACACTCGATCTTACGACAAATGTGTGTTTATCATAGTTTATGTGAGGAAATAATGCATCAACTAGAAACTTCTATTGAGTTATAAATCTGTGTCATAGCGACACGTCATTCTTTCGTGTTCACACACACATACACACAGACGAAAGAGAAATATTCACCTTTTATGGCTGGAAATGTTTCTGTACCCAAGGTTACAAAAAATATTTACTCGACGTTTTTAAGTAGTGTTCATTATGTATTACTGAAAAGCTTAATGAGCGGCCCGGCATGGCCAGGTGGTTAGGGCGCTCGACTCGCAATCTGAGGGTCGCGGGGTCGAATCTCCGTCACACCAAACATGCTCGCCCTGTCAGCCATGGGGGGCGATGTAACAGTCAATCCCACTATTCGTTGGTAAAAGAGTAGCCCGAGAGTTGGCGGTGGGTGGCTCATCCTACGACAAGACTTCGAGTTTGAATAAATATATTATGATTCCATGTATTTATGTGCATAATTATAATAAATATATTTATATTTAAGTGCATATTATTTATAATAATATATTTTGAACCAAGTTTTTTTTTTTTGTTGATACCATTGACCACTCTCTTGCGTATCTATCAATATATATATAAATCACAAAAATCTGCGTGTCTGTCTGTTTGTCTCTTATCTACCTCTTCGTACGAAGTCACCCTGACCATTGCATAGTGTATACCAAGTTTTAACTATATAAGTATAGAGTTTTTATCGCTTATACAAAATGTTTGGTGATGTAATAACCAATATTTTAACAATATGTTATGTTATAAATAAATTGTGTGAAAGTTAGAATTTTTGTGTTATTTATCGTAGCATTCACCTCCCCCCTCACACATACACACACACAGTTTTTTTTTATTAAGTTCATAACCACGACAAAGACTGGTACCTCAGTTTATAGTTTATAAAAGTCTGGCTACGCCCTTGAAAAGTGTTGTGTTTCTTGTGTTTAGGTGACCCTAACGGACAGTTTCAGGTCGAAGAAAACTCGGGGGTCCTTTCAGTTCAAGTACCGCCCGATCGAGAGGAAACTTCAGCCTTCAACTTGAAAGTTATTGCTGTTGATACTGCAGACAACACGGTAAGCTTCCAATTGTAGTAGGAAAACGTGTTTTCACAAAATCCGCTTCTTCAACTGTAAGGTAGAAAAGTCACTGATTACGAGTTATGTTTCCGAAATCTCCCTTTTTTTTTCAGTTTTGTGTTATTATTCTATTCAGCAAACCATTGCCATTCTTAGTCCTCATCTGAACCATTTCCATCAAGACAGGATCCTTCCTACAACAAAAACGATCTTGTAGTCCTCATTTAAACCATTTCCAACAAGACAGGATCCTTCCTAAAACAGGGACGTTCTTGTAGTCCTTGTCTAAACCCTGTCCAGCAAGACAGATCCTTCCTACAACAGGGACGTTCTTGTAATCCTCATCTAAACCCTTTCCATCAAGACAGGATCCTTCCTACAACAGGGACGTTCTTATAGTCCTCATCTAAACCATTTCCATCAAGACAGGATCCTTCCTACAACAGGGACGTTCTTATAGTCCTC